AAAAATAATGAAACAATTGAAATATTATATATTAGATTCAGATTAAATTAATAAAAATTAATAGGAATATATCAATCAATACTTTCAATTGTTCAATAGTTTTACTATCCACTTCAGCTTTTGACAATAATTTTTGTATTTTAACTCTTAAAACTGTTATCTCTACCTCTAATGCATTGCTTCGATTTTTCCATACATTTACTGACTTGGTCAACTCATTGACTTTTGATTGAATGTCCTTAAATGCTTTGTTTGTAATCTCTTTGCGTGCTTTCTCCAATTCTCTGATAATTACTAAACAATTATTGTAGTTAGTATATTAATAATAAAAAACTGTAAATATTTGTAACAATAATATATATTGTTAATAGAAAATTAGGTAGGTACCATTTGAGTTTTCAGCATCTTGTTTTATTGAGTCATTAGATTCTCCTCGAAATTTATTTAATTTCTCTTGTAATTCGTTCACTTTTTTCTGTAATATCAGTATATGTTGTGCTCGTCCTCTAAAATTTGAGGAACCTGTGCTAGATAAAACAGCCTGCATAATAGTGGAGTCTCCGATTTCATTAGACAATGCCTGTGGTTTATAAAAATATATAAAATAAATGTATATAACTAACCCAAGTAAATACCCTAACATTTTGTGTCACTTGTAAATCATTTTTTAATTGCATTATCTGGTTACGATAATGAAAATTATTTTTATTCGACTGATACAATTTATCTGTCAACTCTTTTATTTTTATTGTAGAATCTTTATTTCCTTAATTAACAATTAAAGTTTAATTAATATTTAAAGTATATTTATTTTCACTAAAGAACATGATACTTTTATCATCACCACATGTAGATGATTTTATGGACTGTAATTCCAACATAAGTTCTTGTACTCTGTCAGTTAGTAATAATATCTTTTTAGCTGCGAAATGTGACTTTTCATTACAGCTAGATTTTGGAATTTCATTGATTATGACATTTTTTTGTTCAATGATTGATAATAAACGATCATTTTCTTCTTCTAATCTCTACAAATATTGATATAAATAGTAAAATCGTTTAAGCTACAAACCTTTTATTTTATTTAATACTTGTATTTTGCGTATAAAATGTGCGTTTGAATTTTCTACATGCAACTCATTTATTGACATAAAACGTGATTGAGTGATTTCATTCTAATATAATTTATAAAATTGATACATATGCAAAACAAAATGGTTAGTACATTTTTCTGTTTTTTTTTTTTTTTTTTATTCGTTAAATCAACTTACTTCAACTTTTTGTTGAGGTTCAATGCAAATCATGTTAACATCGATTTCATCATTTCCGTCAACTGTTTCATTAACATTATTCTCCATAGATGGAATAAAATACTGTTTAATACTATCCATTATTTCAAAATCACTTGTAATTTAAAATTGTATGTAATGAAAATTGTAAACAGAGTTGCGTTGATATATTAGTATTTATTAGTTAATTCGGTACCTACTTAAACATTGCAATATGTTTCTACGCGACCACAAACAGATTTAAATTTAAATTCTTTTATAGCTGCTAATATAAAATTATATCAGAAATTACATTTGATGTAAACTGGTATTACATTTTTTATTAGATTGTTATAACATTAAACTGATAGTTTTAATATCTAAAAATTGTTTACAAATGAAATATTATTATTTAAGTCTTAGGTGAGTATTATACTTATGAAACCATGTAAATACTTATTAATAGGATTCTTCATTTTTGAAGACATAGTCACCGATGAGTTCACGGCTTAGTATTTAGAGTCCCATACAGATGCGGATCTAGAAATTAAAAAAGGGGGAGTGCTAGAAAAGTGAGTTACTGGTATAATTCGTTACGTGTATACGAAGTCTTTCATACGTCTAATTTTTTGAATATTTTAAGTACCTACGTTCGATATGGTTCTACCTAATGTCTAAGGGGGGAGCTTCAGCTTCCATAGACCCCTCTTGAATTCATATCTAGTCCAATGGACCACTGTACCGTAGTGTACAGTGGCGTTCACAGATTTTCCATGAACCAATGCAGTTGAATTAGGGTCTAGTACATTTCGCCCCAATCGTTTTTTCGCTATTCTATTTTTTTTCGTATAACGTCAATAAAAAAATATTGGTTGGCCATAAAATTTTGAAATTTTAATACAATAGTTTTCACACATTATCTATACTCATGTAAAAAAATTTCAAAAATCCGCAGCACAGTTTTTAAAAATAAACATTTGAATTTGAAATGTAGACAAAAATCACGAAATCTGCCTATTTTGGTGGTTAAAAGTAGATAAAAATTCAAAGTGTATACTAATCATTAGTATACATCAGTTGAAATTCACAAAATTTATTTTGGACATCAATTAGGATGAACGTGGCGTCCCCCCGTTCGGTGAAAAAATATAGTTGGGGTACGCAAAAAAAAAAGAAAATAGTAGAGGGTCTTCGCCCCCTTGCGCACCCCCCCACCCAATTCGAGCACTGGTATACATATAAATATATATCATTAGTAATTGATAATAGTAGTTGCGTGAAATCTTAATTTTTTTAAATTAAATGCCAAAAAAAATAGGAATTCAAATAGAAATTCTCAAACCATGTGATAATCGCAAATAAACTGATGACGTTCTCTAATATAAAATAAAAATAAACAAAGATCGTGGATAAATTTGCACAGATATTAACATTTATGATTTTCTCAGATTAATGTTCGATTGGAATGATTTGATAGTGGAAAAATAAAAAAAAACTATAAGTCTGCGTGTTACGAAAATGTTCTGGAAGAACATGTAGGTACATGGTATATAGTCGTTAACCAAGCTATATATATTGGTACTATCTATAGAAACTTATTGTTTAATTTAAATTTCGTTATGTTTGATGTTTGTATTCTAATCTAGTTTTAATGATATTATGATGTTATGTTATTGCTTTGTTTTTCGTTTCATGACGCATGCAAATTAAGAAAAGTTTGTTCGTATTATACTTTTTTGGTTGGTTAGTTTAAAATTTCGAACGACGTGGTGTTTAAAAATAATGTGTTATTACTACTGTAGTAAAATCCAAATAAGAAGAGAAATGTTGGTTATATCTAATTCGTATGTTTTTAGTGAAACGAGATTTACTCACTCCCAAAACTACTAATAAGGTAATTTATAAAAAAAAAATAAAATATAAGATGCAACTTTCAAGCCTCTGGTTTTTTATATAAATTATTTGTTTCTGTAAAATTGTTGCACACGAACTTAATAACGCTTAAGATATTAGCTTTTTTTACCTTTGATAAAATCGTTTGCGACCGTAAACTATAATATACGTTGCGTAATTGTAATCGCTTACAATCAGTTTTTTTTTTCATTATACAAACGTTACCGCATACGAATCGTTTCGAATAAATGGTTTTTTTTTGTTTATTTATTGATTTAACATATAAAAGATGTGTGTGAGAGAGAAAGAGAGAGAAAGAGAAGAGAGAGAGAGAGTTAGAAAAAGAAGTGAATTAGCAAAGTCACCAAACTGAAACTTAGGCGGTGGCAGGCATTATCGGAACGTGTGTGCGCGCGCGACAAAAGCGTCGAAAATCATATAATAACTGCAACGATCAACATTGTCGTTACATTAATGACATCATTCCGAGCTAATACGCAACCTTATAGATTTGGATATCTAGAAATAATGCACAAGAAATTTTCAGAAACATTTTTGTAATGTCTACATGACACGTGGGTAATAATACACCGGGTCGGTACTATAACATACAGACTTGTATAATAACGATTCTGTACGTTATTAATACATATTCGGCGTAGAGGATATAATATAACTTATTTTCGCGTAAATATGAATATATTTATATGCTTGTGTAATGTTGACTGAGTTTAAATTGATTTAATTTAAATTAATTTTAAATTGAAATTCGTTTTAAATAAATAGCCATTCATGTGCTCCCGTATTTTATACCGTTGCAGAGCGTAATTATGTACGGGCGGTACTACAGCTACCCACAACATCAGTATTTTAAATGGAATATTTATAATTATGTTTCGACGTGGAAAGAAATTATTACCTCTTAAAATCAAATGATTTCGTTAACATACTGGTGTATAAAGTAATACCCGAATGCATAATATTATAATAATTGCACGTGAATAATATAGCGTATACTACTGTAAAATATCCGTGTTGTTCTCTGTGCAAATAGCCAATCGCTGTTTATTAGTATTCATGGAAACTTCAACACGCGTTCGTTTATCCTGCACGTCCTATAATCGATGGTTCGTTAACCAAAGTCGGATAGCACCTACTACTATGTGTTAACACGATATTTAAAAAATGATGGGACTCATGTCGGTTAAATATTTTGAAATAAATTACAGTTGTATAGATTTCGTATGGAATGAAAAGATAGATTCGTGATTTGTTTTTTAAGTAATTTATATTACGGAATTCAAATTTGAGAAGGCGCTAAGCACTGTCCAGGCATTTTAATCCATTCCTTTTCATGTGTTATTATATAGGTCATAGTGAAATAAATTTTTCTCCGCATAAAGTAAATTGATTTCTAGTGAATAATTGATTCAATGCCCCAGCTTTAGATCCTATTCGATAAAATTCTTCGTCAATAATTTCAACAACTACAGCCAATAATTTGCGAGACTCAATTTTACATCGGTCGAAATCTGGAATTTTCACTCGCACTGTTTGACCAATTAATGCAGCAGGAAAATTTTTATTAGATATTGTTTTCATTTTTTTTGCTTGTTTTTCCAGAGATTGTAGTGACTCTTTTCGTTGTCGTTTAATTTTAGTAGAACGTTTAAGTAATATATTTTCAATAACTTTTTCATTTTTATCTTTCTTCGATAAAATTGTTTTTTCATCGTTTTTTGTAGAACTCAATATCGATTTTTTTCCTTGGTTATGATCAATGTCTATGTCCTCATTGATTTTTTCAGTAGTATTCGTCTCCTCATTCTCATTAGAAATTGTAATTTTAGAGTCTTCAAGAACGAATATAAGGTCATCTTCATTAATGAGTTCTGTTATCACATTTTTGGCTATGCTCGAAGTAGCAAGTCCCATTTTCATAGTACACCCAAACATTGCCTCATAGGGTGATCGTTTTATACCTAATTCAAGAAATAGTTATAATTTATAGCTATTTTATTATATTATACTTTATTTTAAAATTTATATTACAATTGTAGGATTATTTTAATACAAATAATGTTATATTAACATGGGTGTACCACGAAAATCTGTGTTTGTTCGGTTATATATTTTTAAATTTTTTTTTGTTTTTATAATAATTACTAAATACTACTTAACCTAAAAATGTATGATATGATTAAATTGATAAAAATACCTTTTAAATATATAACAGAAAAAAAGTTAATAATAATTGTAACTAACCTGAATGAAATGCTGAATTTTTCATTGCATGAATAAATCGTAAAGATTCAGACCATTTTGCATTGTCATTAGTTTCCATCCAAGTTGCTATCATACTTTCGATGTCTTGATTACCTCGTTCAATCAATCCTTGAGATTGGCTGTGACAAGCTTTGCCATAAACTATTTTAACTTGAGACCACATTTCACATACACTGGTAACAATTTTATTTACAAATTCTCACCCGTTATCAGAGTGTAGTATACTAGGAGCTCCAAAGAGAGTGAATATATCTAGAAGTTGATATGCAATTTTTTCTGCACGTTTACACCGTAAAAGCCGTATAATCACAAATTTTGTCAGGTGATCTTGATACACCATAATTTATTTAAAACCATTATCTGGGTTTAATTGCATATCAATTAAATCAATTTGACGAGAATTCATTTCATTGTGCAATATCGGTTTAAAAACGAGTCCTTTTTTTGGTATACTATGCTTTTTCTGGCATGTTTTACACATTTTCAAGTACATATTTATAGCTTCCACTTTAATGTTTTTGAATTTTTTTTTTAGCATATGATTTATCCGATCCCTACCACCATGTCCTGTTTCAATATGAGCTGCGTGTATAATATCAAAAAGTTCTTCATTACATACGTAGTATCGAATATCTTCAGATCCACTTTCCACTGGAAAAATAAGTTTGTCTTCATTCCCAATACAAAGAACATCAAAACGTTTTAATCTCCGATAGTGAATTGATTTTTTGACAGCGATTGTTTTTACGTTCTTCACTTCTTGTAAATACGTATTGTACATTTCACGTGTTAAATAAAAAGTATTACTAGAATCTTTTTTTTTAATTATTGGATTTAAAACGTCATAAAACCTTTCTATATTAGTCATATTTAAGTCAAATTAACAATGAAAATAAATATAATTAAAAATTACATTAATTAAACATAATTCAATATAAATATTACGCGCACAAGGCACAACACATATTACACTGTTATACAAATGGATCCGTCTATCACGTTAAATCCAAACAGACTGAACATGTACCTAATAAAACCATATCTAAGCGATAACGTATCCGTTAGTAAATTATTAGATAATTATTAATATCTACACATTGCAGTCGTAAATTTATCTTCGCAAAATAATTGTTATTAATCGTTGCGAGCAAATATGTTTGAAGTGTGATTTCCAGAAAAAATGTACAACTTAAGATGCATTTTTATTAATTATAATAATATATAATAATAATTTTTACGCAGCTTAAATGTTATGTGTCGTGTATTGATCAGCTTTTATTAAGTCAATTTGTATATCCTAGGATGTACACAACGTGTTTAGTAAAAGCCCGAATAAAATTTAGAATTTCAGCATTTACTGAGTACAAACAGTAAAACCTAGGTTTACCTAGTGATCGGGCATTTACGGTAACATTTATATATATATATATATATATATATATATATATATATATA